GGGGGGGGTGGTAGTAGGCACATTGTAAAATTAGTCGAGATACGCAGAAATTGATTCAGACATCGTGATAATAAAAAAATTTAATAAAGCAAAAATGTAGAGGCTTGTGATATTCTAGAAATGTCTATCTATCCTTTTCAAGGTAGGAAGGGTGTCGAGTTGAATGTCGATACAATTATCATTGCTACCTAACTATATTGATTTGATTGAAGTATCTAACTTGTGGTTTCATGCATGAATGTTTAATTAACAAATATAAATTAAATGCCTCTTATTACTAAAGATTTTATGGTGACTAGCTAGCTTATTTGTTCATCTTTTTTGTCCTTTTTTGTTTATTAATTTAAAGAGCATTTATTTATAGCCATATAAAATAAAATAATAGAAAAGAGTCCTCAAAATCTTGGATTCACATTTGGTTAGGATTAATTATTATTGTATCGGTTGAGTTTATTTTTGTGAAACATGATACAATAAGACAGACTTGGTATGTCTACATCCCATCATGAAATTATTAAAATAAAAATAATCCAGAAGGAGATCTCAAATCTTCATTTCACATATGATTTGGATTAACTAATTTTCTTTTGGTTGAGTTTATTATGTGAAGTATGACACATGCATTGATTGAGATTCTCTTCTTATAAAAAAGAAGAAGAGAATATTCAAAAGAAAGGTATATTCTTAAATAGTAAGCGTAGTTGATGCTTACTTTCTCGCCAAAAATAAAGATATTAATTGGAAATCAAATATCAAACAGTTAAATATCAATCAGCAATCCCATTGGTCTGTAATAAATTAAAGTATCAGAAGTTGACTATTTATATAACCCTATCGGGGTTGAGGGCAAGCTCAATTTGGTTGGATGTGAATGGTTCGGTTCGGTCGATTCTTTTATAAAATTTACACTATACTAATTTTTTAATTATTCTATTATGTATAGTCAAAACTAGACTTTTCGAACCCGTATCAAACTAAAACAAGAGTATCTTATACTTTTTAAATAGGGTAACCTGCTATTTTCTTCACCTATAAAGTTTACTAATTAATTAGTAAAAAACAAATCCAAGCATTCAATTTCAGAAAATTTTCACCGTATTCCCTAGAATATTACGCCAACAAAAAGATAGCTAACAATCGAAGATAGCTATATTATCAGTAATCAATTTTTTATTCAATAAGATTATCTCAAAAAAATTTATTTGAACACACACATATGATAGTATGATTAAAATGTAGAACATTAATCTAAAGTAAGAGAAGAAAAGTAATTAATATTCTTACTGGTTTTTCATGAATTCCAAGCTGTGACCATGTTATCACCTCAAGTAATTCTTCCATTGTTCCATACCCTCCTTCAGTATCAAAGTCAAATAATAATATATATTATGAATTCAAATTTCAAATATATATGAATCAAAGTATATTAAAAACTATAGTATATAATTAGGGTTTTAATTACCAGGAAGTGCAACAAAAGCATCTGCTCTACGAGCCATCTCAGCTTTCCTTTCATGCATATCAGATACTACTAATACTTCTCCCACTGCATGGCCCGATATCTGTTTATGTTTAATTAAAGATTGAATTCATCGAGTTAAAATCCTGAATCCGTTTTTCTATATACATACATATCTTTTACTGTATTTAAAGCGGAAGTGAAATGAAAAGAATTAAAAGGGAAAAGAATGGAAAGAGGGTGTTTGAGATTTTATTTCATACCTCTACTGGAACAAGAGCTCTTGGAATAATTCTATTCAATTGAAAAGAAGAAACAAAAAAAAAAGTTAATATTTTTAGAAAATCAACATATTATACAAAACAAAACCCCTACCCATTCAAAATTTACTATGTTTCACTTGTTGAACCACAATAAAATCCCTTCTTAGAAAAAAAATTACTTATACCTCGGGTTTACACTAACTCAATAAATACATAACATGTGTCCTTCAGGTACGGTTACTACTTAATTGTGAAAAATTAACACACATTCTCATCTTAATTAGTTTTATGACTTAAACACAAAAGTTACCGTATTTTGGTATAAACAATATGTTTCAATAAATTTTTCCTCTTCTTTTCTCCCTTCCATCCTTCCAAAATTTAATCATACAAGAAAAAACAGAAAAAAAATTAATGGGGTTGGACGGTAAAACTTAATTGACTGGATGTTTACACCAAATCATATTAACTTGCTTTGATAACATGAATTAACATAAAGTGAAAATATACAATAAGTAATCATAATTTAGTGAAAGAAGTATGCGCAAATACTTATGCATCAATTGGTCTGGCGTAAACACTTAATTATGCAGACAAATTTTTACCGAGGTTTTGATTGTGGACGAGGGTGGGGTGTGTGGG